TTTCTAAAATAGAAGAAAAAGAAAAAACAAAAACCAAGCCCCTCAACAGCCTCCGTAAGTGAATAAAGCTTCTATTCAAAACAAGAGAGATCCCAACATATATGAACAGGGTGCTCTGTCAGAAATCAGGAATCTACTGGTTGTCACTGAAGGGCTCAAATGGCTCTATAACTGGACTAAAGTGTGAAAAGAGAATCAGGGAATTAAAATAAAAAACTACACATACAAAGGAAGCTACTGTGAGGAGGAGGTTGACAGAGACCCGTCATCTAGCTTATAGATTGTTACGTTTCAACATGTAGAGTATGGCCCCAGCACATGCTTCTGAAGAATGAAATGTTGCCACCTACACTGCAGCTGCCATGTTTGGAGACATCAGTAAATTTCAAACATTGTCTCATTCTTAAAATTCCACTTAGCTTCTATCAGACGCACATCGCCTTAACTTTAAATTTTCAGTGTGGGTTTTTCATATATATAATATATATATATATATATATATATCTTATATAATATATCAAAGTTTAGAGTATAGATTTAAAAAAAAAATTATTCAACAGCTTTCTGAAGTTGAGGCATTCCTTCCTAAATATCAGGGTAAAATTCAGAGCCATGGTCCATGCTCTGCAGCATCGGCTTCTGATCAAGGGAGGACATTCTGCTCAGCATTTCTGCTGACAGTGCATAACTATTGCCTGATTTCTCTTCAAACCAACTATCTAGTGCTCTCTTGCAATCAAAGTTGGCAATGGCTGGCCCATTAACAGCAATCGTCAAAAGATCGCTGAGCTGTTCCAGAGTGAGGCGAGAGCGGTTGTTTTTGCGCACTCTCTGAAGGGCATTGCGTCCCTTCTCACAGCAGGCTGATGAGGTGGGAAGGACTTTAAGGATCTGAACTATTTTATTTAACAGTGGGAACCTCTGTTTGTATTTACAAATGTGACCAAGTAAGTCTTTAAAACCATTTTTGGTATAATAATCCACCTTGAGTTCTCGCCATTCCATCAGCAAACTTCCTCTGATGTCCATTCCCTCTCTGCAAACCTCTCTGGAAAATGATGGGACTGTTTCCAGGTGTTCAAATATCTGTACCATATCTTCCTTTCCATAGCTCATGAGCTCCTCAGTGCTTCTGGGCCAAGCTGCAAGGTCAAATACCTGACATGCTTTCACAAATGTCCGGCTACGTGAATCAAACCTTTGGGCTAGGATCACTTGGGTCTTCTGGCAGATCTTTTCTCTAATTGACTGGAATTTGGCTTCAGCCACCCGTAGATTTTTCACAGCAATGCCATTAAAGCTTTCTCGGAAGTTCTCTTCAAATTCCTGCAAATATTCCCCAGGCGAGTCTGCAAGCCTGCTGATCTCCTGGATAGCCTCCTCTATTTTGTCATCCACTTGTGACACAAGGAGATATTCACCTTGGAAGACATAGGCGAGGCGTGAAAGCACAGCGATCACATCCAGCAAGAAGTAGATCAGTTTAATAGACTGGTAGTCCATAAGGAACTGCAGGAGAGCCAGGGCAATGGCAGAAGCATCTGCTCTTTGTGTTTGACCGCTGACATCTTTGAGATGGGCCACAACTTCAAGGTAATCCTTGATTAGAGCATTAAGGACATTCTGCTCCCCAATGATCCACTTCACTGCTCGGATGTCTCCCAAGAACTCAGTCTCCTCACAGAGAGTGGCAGCAGTGACTCGCAGCTCGCACATTAACTTGGGGGAGTAACGATAAAAGCTGAGTAACTGCTTCAAATTGTTTTCTAACTCCTCCAGACATGGAAGCTCTTTTCCACTGATTGCATCTAAAATTTCCAAGTGAGGCCTGTGTACCATAAATGGCAAGCAAAGCAACCAAGGTAATGTCTTTCTGATTGTCATGAACAAGTTAGCTCTCAGGCTGGCAGTAATGTTAGCACCATCTACTCCCAAACCAATAGTTGGCTTCTCATCCTGCAATCTTATTCCCAAACTGGAAAAAGCCCTGTCCAATGCTTGGAGGTAACTGTCTGTTGTTGAAAAACCCAGTTCTTGAAGAGACAGGAATTCAGTTGCTGGAGGCCCATCACTGCTTGTATACTGCACATAAACTGCAACTGTGTCAGCCAGCAAGTCGTCACTCTGCCCATCCAGGATGATGCTGAGGAAGGGAGATTGCCTGATCCGTTCCACCAGATCCTCTCGAAGAGCCCGGGCAATATGATGAATTAAGATTTGGCAGTCTCCTTCATTCATGTACTGATCCACCACTTTGAGTTCACACTTTCTCAGTAGTTCTGCAAGAGGCCTAAAGTCATAGTAGGGCCTGCCTTCCAAAGCCAAGTGGTAGGCCGTGTTGAAGAGCAGGGTCATATTTCGGCACATCTCTTCTGTCTTCTCTGGATGCATTCTGAGCTTGTAGAGCTGCAGGCACTTCTTGTGGAGGTTGCTCTGGCTGTGAAGCTTTATAGTGTGTATCTTGAACTGCTTAGAGCCAATGATGAAGGCTGAAGTCCGAGAGGATTGCACTGTGTACTGCCTACAAACGTGGCACCACATTTCATTTAATGTTGGGGAGTACCGCAGAAACCAGAACTTTTTAAGCCATTCTTGTTTGAAGCGTCGAATCCTCCTGCCAGTCACAGAAGACATCTTGGAAGGCTCATCTGTAGCAGCTATCATATCATTGGATACCGATTCATCGGCAGAATCCACCTCCTGGTCATCATCCTCCATGATTGTAGGAACCGAGATGATGCTTTCCGAAGCTGCAAAAGAAGAAGGAACATTAAAAGGAAGAAACGAGACAAAATATTTACAAAGCTTCCGAGCTATGGCAAACATTCAAAAAATAACACAGAATGCTATCCTGCTTTGAGCAGGGGGTTGAACGAGATGACATCCTGAGGTCCCTTCCAACCCTAATTTTCTATGATTCTATGATTTGGCCAAATTCTGTTGCATGCCCAACATTAAAAGTAGAATATGGCCACCTGAATGTAAGTTTTGAAGAAAAATCAGAGGTATTTTATATAATTCTTAAACATACCATGTCTCTTGGTCAACAAGAAGATAAATGCCATTCTGACCACTTTGGGGGGTACCCAAAAGTAAACATGATGCTGCTTTGCTAAAGAAAATTAGTAACTGACAGCATATTCTTGAGGGTAATGAAACAAGTCTCTGAAAGGAATGCATGCTTGCATTAAGACAGCAGAGTGTACAGTGAGTGCTTCCAAAGGAAAGAATGGATTTGTAACGCTTCACACACATGCAGGGAGTCAGTATGTTTCAGTTTCAACATTTAAAGTAATTCAGACTTTCAAGTACAGTTTCCTGGTAGCTCCGAAAGGGTCACACTGCTGCTGCCACTGAAAGAGAAAGCATCACAAATACAGCAGACAAGCCAGCTGCAATGGAATTTTTTTTTTTTTTATTGACAGTGTATTCATTACAACGGAAACAAATAGAACAAGTCATCATTACAGAAACTTTCCCAAACAATGTCTTCTCAGCGGGCTCACAGTATCAGCTCCTGCCCCCCAACTCGGCAGAACATGGCTCTAATGTTTCTATAAAACACAGGGTTCCACACAATAGCCAAGCTGGAACATTTTAGGCCTGCACACAGTATACAGTGATGTCCTAAATTTTCCTATGCAGTGTTTGAAGAACATTCTTATTCTCCATGACTTACCTGTGGGGTCAGAGAACTCTTGAAGCTCAGGTACCTGAGGTGCTAGAGCAGGCTGCTCAGGTAACTTGCCAGATCTCAACATGTCTAGCTCAGCCTGCAGTTCTCGGATCTTCTTTTTCAACCTTATGCAGTTGGGACAAAAGGAAGTTGTGGGGATTTCATGTGAATTGCCTTGAGTGGATGCCAGAGCTGGTTCAGCAGGGCTGTCTGCCTTGAGTGACAGGGGCTCTTCTTCATCTTCCAGGAGACCCATCTCTTTGGCTGTGCTAAAAGAGGAACTATGGGGGACCTTCCATTCTCCCTCACTTCGGTTTCTGCTGAGGTTTGGGGAGCTATGCTGAATGGTAGTTCCACATCTTTCAAAGACATCTTCAGTCTGGTATTTAGATGCCTTTCTAATGGAAAGTGGGGTGCTCGTGGTTAGCTGGTGCTCTTCCAGCTTTGCTGACTCCAGGGAAGCCTCCAGGACATCTTTGAAGATGAGATCTATCTTCTTTTTCTTTGTCTGGGGATGGGATTCCGCTTCTTCACAGCTGCGCTTGTAAGGGCTCTTCCCTTGCTTCAATGTGGTGAGCTGAAGAGGGCCTCTCATGTCCTCTTGATTTTCCACATTTTTTTCTGACTTTTCCCTCTGTGATTTTTTATCGCCTAGAAAGGAAAATGAGGGGGTCGGGGATTATCACTGGGAACTACGCAATATTCCTCAATCTAAAACTAAAAAAGAAAAGAAAAGGCAGGCTGAGTCCCTACAGATTTGTATGTGGCATTACAAATAAGGAAACTGATAGCAAATTCAGTGGAAACCAAGAAGATAAGCTCTACTACTGGGCAAGCCTTCAAAAGAGACAGTCTCTATAACCACACAGGAGTAGGACCCACACATTTAAAGAGAAGAAAAAATACAGGCAGCTTGTTTTATGTAACAGGTATAACCAACCTGTGCTGGATTAAAACTGTAAGGTCAACTACTGATTACAGTCGAACCCTATGCCCTGTGCCCAAATGCCTATTGGCTTGCTGGAAGAACAGCGACTGTTTTGACTTGGTAAAAGGTATCAGGTGTACAGCACATGAAGCATGAGATTCAGAGTTTTCCACAAGAACCACAAATGTCTGCTCATTAACAACCAGAAGCTTAGAAGCACTCATTCTGTTTCAGTCTGGAGGCTCTTCCAGAGATGAGAGAGCAAAGGAAACAAAAAGTTGCCCTCTTAATCCCCATGGTACATGTCTCCAACTGAGCTAGAACTGATGGACTCTCTCCTAAGCTGGGACATCTAGCTTGTCCCTATGGACTCTAAGAAAGTGGCCATCACTCAAAGACAAAAAATAAAAGTGACATTATACAAAGTATTAATTGCTCAAAATAAAGGGAATAGCCATATTTCCTTACCTGGAAATTCAAAGGATGATAGGTTTGGATCAATTCCATCTTTCTTCTATCTTGTAAATAACTTCAAGCATTGGTGGCTTCCCAAACAAGACGTTGCTTTATGCTGATTTTTTTTTTGTTTGGTTTTAAAATAAGTTCATGTTTTCAAAACAGCTACAGTGTAAGCGCTACTAGTGTCTCGCTGAGGAGAACAATGCTAAGGATGCAGAAAAGATGGAAGACTGAAAACAACTTAGATATGGAACTGTATGGAGGGCTGGACTGGACGTTGCAGAGATTTCATGCTGCGTTCTTAGGGTAAGGTTGCATCCCCACTTGCCTTCTGGTATGAAACAATGCAACGGACTCAACATATTTTGCTACTGTGTTTCTAAGGGCAGAGCTTGGATTTTTTAGCTTTTTGTTTTCTTCATTGCAGAGGATTTCAACCACTGATCAAGTGACCTTAAAAGAGATGGTCTCTTTTAATCAATTACTCTTTTATAATTAAGTAAATACTGTGGCCTCGTTACGCTATTTGAGCACATAAGAAACCCTCCCATAAAGCCAAGAAATTAGGGCAGAAACAAAAGGAAAAACAATAGAAGCTCTGTCACTCACTGGGAGCTTTTTTAGAATGCATTTTTTTTTCTTGACATGTTTTGGACGACTTTGCATTTTAAACAGAACATTTTTTAAAACAGATTCTTATTTTCTAATGACTTGTGAGGTGAGGCACTTCAGAGCAGACACCAGGAGTTCCAAATTAAAAATGCATGTGATGATCATGTCTGCATTTCTCTTGTGTGATGCTGAGCCCAGAGTAGCAAGGGACTAGCTCACGAAGACAGCTGGAGGTTTTTATATAGGCTTTCCCATCTATCTCAATATAACAAGCTCCAAGTGGCTGGATACTGAAGGTTCTGGTGAGCCCAGATATAGTTCTCTATTACACTCATCGCTTCACTTACAGTAGACTATCACTTAAAATTCTCAATCTGTAGAAACACAAGATCCAAATGCAAGTGCATATGTTTGTGTGGCAGGGGCCAAAGATACATAAAATTTGGTAATGGGCATTCACACAAAGACTAATATTGGGAGAAACATCAATGGAAGACTTCCCTGCCTGGTAACCCACCTTGGACCCTGCACACATACTGTTTTCCTTTTAATATTTTCTGAAAGTTTCAAAATACTTGAGCATCTGGTGTGCACATGGGATGAAAACAAAATCCCTAATGCTTGTGCATACGCATACAATAGTTAATATAATTGTTAATGTAATACATGCATATTCACCAAATATTATCAACGATATATCATGACATTCAGAAAGTGTAAAAACTACAGGTTGACAGAGAATCAACAGGGCTTCCAAGAGGCCCTGTCCTCCCCCTATTTTAATAGGAGACACCTTTTACCAAGTCAAGGCAGCAGCAGCTGTGCCATAGCACACAGAGAATTTTTAATGATAAAATTATATTTAGGTTTGCTGCCTCTCAGAGGCCCTGCCATTCTGTGGCTGGGCTTGGAAAGAAATTCCTTCATTCCCAAAGCTGTAGCATCAGATAGACAAATACATGCATAGCAATATCTTGTCTTCTCCTACAGTTTCTTGCATTGGTAATTTCATACTGGCCTAAAGGACCACTAGATTTGCTCCAGCATGACTATTCCTATAATGAGACAGCAATTCTAATTCAGGGAAAAATTGGTCTGAATCTAATGACCAGTAAAAAAATCTCCTATATGTCATATAAGCCCTATAAGGCTGTGTGCTTGAGGAGTCTCTTGTTGATGCAGTGTTGGTCTCAAATTAACTCATGGAAGAAAGAGGAGATAAATTAAGCCAGGAAATCAGAGATACAAACATATCAAGAAAACTTCACTTTCACATTCACACAAACCTATCCAAAGAGCTCCCTTAAACAGTTATTCACAGGAACCATAGCATTAAACATCTTACAAAGGGTAAGTCTAATATGTGTCAGTGCAGCAGCTTCACAACAGGGAGATTTATGAAGGAGAGAAGCTCCAATATTCATGTTTTATTTCAGTTTCTTACAAAACATAAAGTGAAGATGTCCTGCTGTGATTTCAGACACCCTGAGGACAACTGCATTTTCTTTTGCACACATACCAAGCTGAATGGGGCTCTCTACTTATGGGCTTTGCTTTTAGAAATTCAGCACTTCTTGCACATGCTATGTATTATTTATTGATATTATGTCTATGATCCAAATCACCGAGTGCAGGAAACTAGACACTTGAAGATAGGCACCTAGTCAGATTTTCCCAAAGTACTTTCCAATGTGCTTAATCACCACCAGATCCATTAGAGTTGGGCCCTGTTTAACTTGACTTCAGGAGCAATTAAACACTTGAGTGCTTTTGAAAAAAGCTCACTAGGCACCTATCCACATCTTTGCATATCAACAACCGTTAAAAACCTGGCCCAATGGGATTTAGGAGCCTAAGTTCTATTTGTTTGCTATGGCACTTATTCTTCTTGGTGCCTAAAAATGGAACTTATGCCACTAGCTGATTTTTAATATGTTACCACAGATGGTAAAGGGGTCCTAACTTCAAATAAATTTGATTTAAAGGTTCATGAGGAAAATGGTTACTGTATTACTTAATCAAAATAACATGACTATGAAAAATAGGTACTGTTAAGGAAATTATTCTTTCAGTATGTGCCTGTTTCCGTTCCATGACTCAATTCCATGCTGCCTTCGCCCGGGCCACTGGGCTAACTAGCCTGGGATTCTTGTGTAGACCCTGGAGGATTCCTCGATGACTCTCAGGGTGACCCCCAAACTCGCCTGCCATGACTTTGGATGGACCTTCAGTGGAGGGGGTCCCCTCAGAGGATGCCTCCAGAGTTGTCACAGGTCTCGGCAGATGCCTGTGGGGCTCCAACCTCCCCTACACCCCGGCCATGCACCACCCAATGAGATGGGCCTCAGGGTCTTCTCGCCTGGCCCCTTCTGGATGTCTTCCCTGGTTCCTTTGTCCCACTCTACAGGCCAGCCCTGGACTCTAGCCCAATCTGAAGGGCCTGGTGACGCTCGGTCTTCGGCTCTCCCTCTCAACATCCCACACGCTTCACAGCAGATGTTATTGGCTGTTGCCGAGTTCTCATGTGGTCCCCCGTCTTCAAGGGAAGACCCTAATTCCCCAGGCCTGGTAAAGGATGCCAAGTGACCCTACTCTAGACCTGGACAGAAATTAAATCCTACCATGAAAGAAGATCATAAGCTGATCGCTCACCCTAGAGGAGTCCTGCCCCACGGAAACTCCCAGCATAACAAAACTCAAAAGAAACTCCGAAAAAAAGCAGTAACGCCACAAGTGAGAGAAAAAAAGGAAAACAAAGCAAAGAGGGGCACCCACGGGGTGGGAAGCCCTGTGCCCCCTTCACCCCCTAAGCCAG